CAGCAACACTTAACAACAACCTTTACTGGGTACCTACCTGGTGAAGCCTACAACATTCTCCCTAAGATAGATTTAGGAACTTTGACTGGAAGGGGTGACAGGGGGCTTTTCTTAAACATATCTTTGCAGAGAAAATATATGGGTTTAATTTAGATGATATATTTGAGGTTGTATAAATTTGGGAAAGAGTGAGTGTAAAGTCTCTCCACATCATGAAGATACTGTTGCAGACCGTGTAAGACTAGTCAGAGGTTCGAGGCCCTCTAGGGCTGAGTGTAACAAATGAGACCACTGGCAGTTAATGGAAAATTGCTTTCATCTTAATATTCAGGTATATATATTAAATTAATACAGTGGAGCCTTTGAAAATCCACAGATAAATGTGATATTTTCCTAAAGCCAAGACTAAAGGTTGCAAGGTTAAACCTTTTTCCAAAGGATTAACTAAAAATATCTTAGCTACTTCTCGGTTCTTTGTTCTATAGACAAAGAACCCATCCTCCCTAATCCCTTTTCCAGGTGCAGCCCATTCACCTGGGCGTCTCCTGCAGAACTCTCACCTTCCCCCAACTGACCTCAGGGGCTATAGATATGTTAATTGGGCCTGAGAATCCAAGTTGCTGGCCTGGGATTCGAACCAGTGAAGTATGATGTAAAGTTACCTGAATGTCTGGAAAAGTACTGATGTTAGCTGTACCTTGCCTAAGTCCCTCCCAGCTTGGTGTGAAACTCCTCCCCTAAATAAATCAGAGGCCCGGGCCTCCCCAGGTGTGCATTACTGGTTGGAAGGCATGGAGTAACGATTGCAGTACATTACGGGTTGGAAGGCATGCAGTAAAGATTGCAGGGCAGTGAGTTGCTGCCTGCAGAGGCCATGATGCCTGTAGTCCCAAGCCTGCCCACCAGTGATGTATCCACCCTGGCTTTGGGGTGCCTCATTGTCTCCCTTCTTCTGTTTGTCTGTGTATTCTTTCGCTATCCCTATCGCCGCTGGATCTCCCCTCCTCGTGAACCAAACACTCGTGACAACTATGTCGAGGGAAAACCTCGACAAAGATACCAGAGAACCCCCTTAAAACAATGTGTAAACAAGTGTGAGACAGAAAAATATGTGTCCTGAGACTATGAGAGCACGACTCAAGGAAGCCATCTTGTAGAAGTTAAACTTGTGAAAGTTCCAAGGGCAGGAGGGGAGAAGAGTCCCAGGCAGGTACAGGAGCAATGTGAGTGAAAGACTCATGATCATGCAAGAATTTTGATCAACTTCAGAGGTCCTTCTAAATGAACCCAAGAGTAGCTTCCTTTTGATTGCCTTCAGTTAAAGAAAATGAAGGAGTGTTCAGACATGTTGCTATACAGGAAAATAACTTTGCCTTGCTAGAAAGTGCTCTGACTCTTTCAAAGAGCATGTGCAGTATTATCTGGTCTTTCTTGAGATAGAAAATTTACTGTTGTTTTGAAGATGTCTGTGTTGTGTATATTCCTATGGTACAATGCCTGACATGTAACCAGTTTTCATTGAGTCCATTCAAACTCATGGTGACCCCATGTGTCAGAGTAGGACTGCAATTCATTGGGATTTCAATAACTGTGGTCTTTGAAAAGTAGATAGCCAGACCTTTCTTCTGAGGTGTTCTGGGTGAATTTAAACTGTCAATCTTTCAGTAGTAGCTGAGTCCTTATCTATTGCTTCTACCTAAGGAGCTCTGGTAGCATAGTGGTTACGAATTGGGCTGTGAACCGCAAGGTCAGCTGTTCGAAACTACCAGCTGTTTCGCAGGAGAAAGATGAGACTTCTGCTCCTGTAAAGATTTACAGCCTCGGAAACACCGTACAGGGTCACTATGAGTCGGAACTGACTCCGCAGCACATAACAATAACAAAGACTATTAAGGAGTCCTAGTGTGGTGCTGTTAAGTGCCATTGAGTCTGTTCTGACTAGTAGTAACCCTGTATAGGGTTTCTGAGGAGGAGTGGCTGGTGGGTTTGAACTACCCACCTTGTAGTTAGCAGTCCACATCTTATCCTACAGCACCACACCAGGACTCCCCATTATAGCGTGTGTTGAATAAATGTTTGTTGACCTGAACCACAGTGAGACAAATTTCATAGGTTCATTTAGAATTACACATCAGAGCATTTAAAAGCATCTACTTGCTAATGCTGCTATTGTTAAGTGACCTCAAGTTGGTTCCGATTCATAGTGACCCTGTATGGGTTTCTGAGGAGTAGCTGGTGGGTTTGAATAGCTGACCTTGTGGTTAGCTGCCCAGTGCTTATCCTAAAGCACCATACCAGGGCTCCCTATTTGGTAATACATTTTGTTTTAAAAAAGAAAAAAAACAACCAAATAACTTCAGTTAGAAATAGCTAAGATAATTGCCATTTCTATGTTATATAAATAGTAATTATTATTCAGGTGGAATATCTGGGAATACAGTTTCTGATTCTCTCAATGATGTCATCCATTTTTTGGTTTTGTTTTTCCATCCATGCTTGCTGCTGTTACTGTGCACCATTGAGTCGGTTCCGACTCAGAAGAACCCTAGATTGGTTTTCCAGCTCTAGCTGAATACTAAAGCTACTCTAAAGATGATAGCTGAACACTAAGGTCATGGTCTATGTTGCGTGACTGGTGAATACAGGAAAGTAGAACGTAAAGTGCGTGACAAGGGTTGTTGGCAATTTGTGGAAAAACATAAATGATGCTGATGGTAATTTGTAACTTGGTTCATTTCTGTAGTCAGTTAAGCATTTTTGTAAATCAGTTAAGCATGTTTTGAGGGCAATGAGGGGGAAAATGGGGTAAAAGAAGAGGAAGATTTGGTCACTTTTCTGTCAAAGACTCCTCCTTTGATTTCCCTTCAGGAAGTGGAATAGGAAAAAGCTCTCAAAAACCTACATTAGTCAGTAACTTTGGGTCAACCACAACGTAGACAGTAAGTAAGAAGGTCAATAGAAAGAGAGACTGTGATTGCTATAAAACCAACAGACACTCTCACTGACAGCACAAACACGCACGGTGCAGAAAGAGCCTTCTGCTAAAGAAGGTAACCAAACACAATAACAATGGCTGTCCTTCATGACACAGCTGTGGTGAGTATTCATAATCCTGGTGACATGCAGTTATCACTAGGATTTCAGAAAAGCAGATTTCTAGGGAAGTAGGCTAGATTGGGGGTCTCTTTAAAAAAACACACAACAGAGTTGACTTCCATTTGCTTCTATTCTGGTGGAGAAAAGGAAGACATAACAGTTATAATGGGGTGCAGAATGTGACTCCTCACTTGGTGAGTTCTGTACAGGCGGTGTTCACATGCAGAGCTTTTGGCATCACAGACAATTGGACATGGTCTGTCCTATGACCGCCTGTAACAGAGTTACGGGATCTCATCATGGGAATTTAGCCAGCATTTTATTTTAAGGGATATGTATATGTGATATGTGTGTGTATATATATATATATATATATATATATATATATATATATATATATAGAGAGAGAGAGAGAGAGAGAGAGAGAGAGAGAGAGAGAGCGAGAGAGCGAGAGAGCGAGAGAGCGTTCTGGTTGCGTAGTGGTTACGAATCTGGCTGCGAACTGCAAGGTTAGCTGTTCGAAACTACCAGCTGTTCCGTGGCAGAAAGATGAGGCTTTCTGGTCCTGTGAAGATTTACAGCCTCAGAAAGTCTATACAGGGTCACTATGAGTTGGAACCGACGTATGAGTCAGTGCTTAACCATTGTGTCACTAGGAGTCTTTTGTAGAGAGTTAGTTATGGAAGCTGTTCATTCCTTGTAAGGTGAGGTAATGTCTGCAGGAATGAGAAAAACACGGTTGTGACAAAGGGAAGCTGGAGAGATTTTTTAGCTTGTCTTTTAGTTAGATCTTTGCAGAGCACTCTCATTCTTCCACATTTCTGTGCCCTAGTTAAATTGATATTTCAGTGTAAGAATAAAAAATATATGTTCCAGAGCTAAAGAGAAATCGTTTCCATATTCTCTGTAGTTGTGCATCATTAGTGCCCCTGTGTCTTTCAATTAGCGTGGAAAATTGGAACTTTGCAATAGTTAGTTTTGCATAATGTTTTTCTTACCGCACTGAGCTTAACTATATTGTTTAATTTAACTGTATTGTTTTGTTCATTCATTCACTCACCCATTCTTTCATTCATCCAGAAAGTATTTATGGAGTACCCATTTCACAAGATGTTCTTCTGCAGGAACTCACAATCTAATGGATGCAGATCTAACGTGATTACAGATATTACATTTCCAGACAATTAAAAAAAATGCTGCTTGACTGCTAGACTGTAAAAACGTTAAGATTTTAGGATAATAAACATACTTTTGATAGAATTACTTTAGGGAGAATTCCAGTGAACTGAGTGAGACCTTGATGGAAAGAAAGGATTTTGATAAGTAGAAGTGGGGCAGGGTCTTCTGTGTAGAGGAAGGACTGGGAGAAAGGATTTTTGTGCAGGATTCATGAGCTATGAGGCTGGAAAGGTGTAATGGGTTAAGCATTGGGCTGCTAGCCAAAAGGTCAACAGTTCAAACCCACCAGCTTCTTCATGGAGAAAGATGTGGCACTCTGCTTCTGTGAATATTGTTGTTGTGTTAGGTGCCGTCTAGTTGGTTCTGACTCATAATGACCCTGTGCACAGCAGGGTGAAACACTGCCCAGTCCTAAGTCATGTTCATGGTTCATCTTGTTGGGATCTCCCTCTTTTTTACTGACTCTCCACTTTTTCAAGCATGATGTCCTTTTCTGGGGACCAGTTCCTCCTGCTAATATGTCCAAAGTATGGGAGACCAAGTCTCACCATCCTCGCGTCTAAGCAGCACTCTGGCTGAACTTTTTCTTCCCAGACAGATCTGCTTGTTCCTCTGGCAGTCTGTGGACCCTTCAATATTCTTCACCCTCTGTAACGACCACAGCCTTAGAAGCTTATGGGGCAGTTCTACTCTGTCCTACAGGGTTACTGTCAGTCAGCATTGACATGACGGCAGTGAGTAGGGAATGTCTGCGGGAATTTACTAATACTACTATTAAAGAAGGAGCTCTGGTAGCGTAGTGGTTACAAATCGGGCTGCAAACTGCAAGGTCAACAGTTCGAAACTACCTGCTGCTCCATGGGAGAAAGATGAGGCTTTCTGCTCCCGTAAAGATTTACAGCCTCAGAAACCCTGTACAGGGTCGCTATGAGTCGGAACCGACTCCACAGCACATAACAACAACAACATTATTAAAAAATTAAATGCCATTTAATCTTTTAATAATAGTATTATAATATGAATATTATTTATATTAATAATTAAATGCCATTTAATAATTCATAATTAAATGTCATTAATAATTAAATGCCATTTAATCTTTAAATAATAATATTATAAGATGAATATTATTATTGGTTGGAAGAAGAAACACTGGAAGCTTAGTGAGTTAGACTAAGATTCAAACCCAGCCCCAGGCCCTAACACCTCCTGTCTCATTGTGGGGGACTTCAGAGACTGCAGAGGGTACTGTCACCAGGTAGTAAGGGGAGTTCTTAATTGTTGTTCTGCTATCTTCAGGTATGACTGTTCCTACTTTCAGGGTGAGACTTAAATTCAAGAAAAGCCCTGATCCCATGCATTAGGACCATACATTAATTTTCTAGAGCTGCTATAACAAAGTGCCACAGAGTGGATGGCTTTGAAGGACAGACATTTATTGTCTCACAGTTCTGAAGGAAGGAGCCTAAATTCAGGGTGTTGACAGGGCAATGTTCTCACTGTCTGCTCTAGGGGAAGATCATTTCTTGTCTCTTCCAGTTTTTGGTAGCCCCAGATGTTCCTTGGTTTGTAGACATATCTATACAGGGCCATCTTCTGTGTGTGTGTCTCTCTTCCTTTATGGGATTAGAACTTAATCTATTCTGATTTGATTTCATGTGAAGCGACAACATCTTCAAAGATGCTATTTCTAAATAAGGTCACCTTCATAGGTACCAGTAGTTAGGATTTCAACATATCTTTTTTTGAGGGGTGGGCGCAATTCAATTCATAACAGATGAGGAATGCTGAGTTGAACTGGAAGGTGCAGTTGTCTCTTGCCAGTAAGCAATGCCAGAGGCTCCAATCTACTGTAACTTCCTTTCTTTTCCAGGTCAGGTCCCTGCTGATGATGATGTTGGGACTCATCCTCCTGAGAGCGGTGGCAGCCTGGAAAATCCCCAAAGCAGGGGATGCTGCTTCCCAAACATCCAAGAATTGCCCCTCTCCAGAGGAGAGCACTGTGACCCTGGACATTAGCTCTCTCAATAAAAACCAGGGCAACTCCATTTCATCAAACATCAATAACCGCTCCACCTCCCCCTGGGACTATAGGTGAGTACCAAGGCGACTGAGCTGCACTGTCTTTGAAAAAAATATGTATGTGATCTCATTATGAAGTAGAGAATTTAGAAAATACAGAAAACCAGAAATGAAATACTCACATTCACTCTTCTTTAAAAGTGGAAAGCCACCTTGACCTGGGTTCACATTTTTTCTTGCCGTTTTGGGGTAGGTCTGCCTATGTGATCAAAGGCCTTAGCATTTTGACTTCTTAGTTCTCATTGACTCTCTGCCTTTGCCAGCTTCATGCTATCCTTGGTTGGAATGAGGTCAACTTCCTGCACTGGAAGCAAGAGTCAGCTTACAAATATTGATTCTAATATCAGTCTTCAAGGACTGGGAGGGGGCAACCTCCCTCCACAAAATAAAACCCACTACCATTGAGAGAAGGCAGGAGTGGAGGAAGCTAACCCATTTGAAAAGAATGATGCTAGGTGGGAAATTTCACTGCACAGCCTCATGATTTTGTCTTAAGGTGTAGGCTCTTAGGCCACCACCTACACTTTCCAGATAGAACTATGAAATGAGAGTTCAGAAACAATTAGAACTGCTTCTGGGGTTGTCTACATTGCTTCCCACATGCATGGATTGTGTATAGTGGTAAGTTGGTTGGATTGACTTTGTTGCCTTCATGCTTCCTGGTAGAGGTCCTATTGTGGGAGAAATTGAGAGAAATCACAAGACTCTGGAGCTTTGAGAACCTTCTGACAATAGGTGTTGACTTTTCTTCTCAAGCAGCAGACCCATAGACTGCATATTTGGTGTAGTTGTTGTGAAGTGCTGTCAAGTCGGTTCTGACCCATAGCGACCCTGTATAGGGTTTCAGAGGTGTGGCTAGTGAGTTTGAACCACAAATCTTGCAATTCAAACTGACTTTGCAGTCTAGCACAGTAACCCACAGCGCTATACCAGGACTCCAGACTGCATATTGGAAGACCTAATTATGATGCTCCGGTCCCTGGGTGGACCAGTTTGCACTTACTTGTGCTTAATAACCTTAAGGTTGGCAGTTCAAATCCACCTCATGGTACTGCAGAAAAAAGCCCTGGTGATCTTCTTCCATTAAGACTGTTGTTTTTTGTTGCCATACAGTTGGTTCTTCCACATAATGACTCTGTATAACAGAAAGAGACACTGCTTGGTCTTACACTATTTCACAACCGTTTGAGACCACTGTATCAATCCATCTCATGAAGGGTCTTCCTCTCTTTAGCTGACCCTCTAATTTACCAAGTACTATGGCGCTGTGGATTAATGCGCTGGACTACCAGGTCAGTATGAACCACAAGGTCGGTGGTTCAAACTCACCAGTCACTCCTTGGAAACCGTATACAGGGTCACTATGAGTCTGAACCAACTCAATGGCACTTAGCCACAGCAACAATGTGGTCTTCTCCAAGGACTGGTCCTCATGGTGACATGTCCAAACTAAGCGAGACAAAGTCTCACCATCCTCCCTTCTAAGGAGACTTCTGGATGTATTTCTTTCAAAATAGATTAGTTTGTTCTTCTTGCCGTCCAAGCTCAATGTTCCTCAGCAGCAAATGACATTCATCATTAAGATTACAGCCAAGAAAACCCTGTGGATCAGTTCTACTTTGTAACACATGAGTTGCCATTAGTCAGAATCCGCTCAATAACGGATTTGATGTTCAACCTCTGGGTAAAAGTATAAATAATAATGATGATGATGATAATAACAATAACAACAATACACATCAAAGTAAAGTAAAAGTGTTATTGTTGAGTGCCTCTAAGGAACCACCTGGTACTGCTGCTGGCTCTCATGCTCTGTCCTTCCTCACCTCCCTTGCCTCACCATTCTGCTTTTGCCTGCTCCTTCTGCAGCATCACCGAGGACCCAGGACGCTTCCCTTCTCCCATCTCAGAGGCCCGGTGCAGGTCCCTCAGCTGCATCAATGCTGATGGGAAGCCAAACAACTTTATGAACTCTGTTCCCATCCACCAGGAAATACTGGTTCTCCGGAGAGAAGCCCGGAGCTGCTCCCTCTTCCGACTGGAGAAGATACAGATCACTGTTGGCTGTACCTGTGTCACCCCCCTTGTCCACCATGTAGTCTGAGAATGCACATCATTTCAGCTGAAGAAATTCCACACATTTCAGCTGAAGAAATTACCAGGCACTGTGCAACAAGTCCTGCCTGGTCCTTCATAATACTTTTATTAAGACCTTCATGGAATTCCCTAAACTCTATATTAGATCATAAAATGTAAACTTCCTGGAGACTCTTCAGAGTCATCCCATTGTCCAGAAATGTTCTAATATCCCACCCTCCAGAAAATGTATGCAAAGTATAAAGAAGCCTTTAACTCAAGTTCTGTTACAATCACCTCCTAGCCATGCAGCCACCCTGATACAGTGCCCCACAGAGCTGGGAGCTACGTTAGTAAAATGTGCCTGTCTTCCATGTGGATGAAAAAAAGGAAACATAATGAGAATGCAGAAGTGGGGATAGGGCTGTATAGGGTGGGGTGGGTTTTGTAAAGATGGAAACATGGATTTAGCACATATGTTTCTGGATGAGGCTTACAGGAATGACTACATATTTATATTTGTAAAGTTGCTCTCTATGACCTGTTGATTATATAAAAATTTAGGGGAAAAATATCAAGTGGTTATGAATTGGGCTGCTAATCTCATGGTCAGTAGTTCAAAGCTATCAGCTGTTCTTGTGGGAGGAAGATGAGGCTTTCTGCTCCCATAAAGATTTACAGCCTCGGAAACCCTACACAGGATTGCTCTGAGTTGGAACTGCCTCCATAGCACATAACAATAACAACATAATAAAGTATTATGATTGAAAAAGATCCCTGGTGTTCATTTTCAGTCTTAGCGTGTACACAGAGACCTTATTGCTCTCAAGGTTTTGAGATCGATATATTCTTTTCATATTTCCTCATTAGAGGAAACCTATGTAAAGATATTTTAATACTAATGGTACCTGCTGGATACATGAAGCGTTTAGGGAAATGGGGCAAACAGAACTCAGTTGGTAATTGCTTACACAAAGTAAACATTTACTAGCCACTGTGCTACAAGCCCTGGTGGTGTTGTGCATTAGGCATGGGGCTGCTAACCCAAAGGTTGGCAGTTCAAATCCACCAACTGTTCCTCAGGGGAAAGGTGAGTTGTGTCTGCTCCCATAAAGATTTACAGTCTTAGAAACCCTGCCTAGGCTCAGTATGCATTGGAATCAATTAGATGATAATGGATTTTGTTTTGTTTTGTTTCTGGATGCAGGCTGCTGGAATACAAAGAGCTGTAAGCAATGCTTATGATCATTCACATAACCTCTTGCTATTTGGGTCATGGTAGCCACTTTTAAATAGGAGCTCTGGTAGTGTAGTGGTTACGAATCGGGCTGCAAACCTTAAGGTCAGCGGTTCGAAACTACCAGCCGCTCCGTGGGAGAAAGATGAGGCTTTCTACTCCCGTAAGGATTTACACCCTCGGAAACCCTGTACAGGGTCGCTATGGGTCGGAACCGACTCGACGGCACTTAACAACAACAACAACAGCCACTTTTAATTCCTTCGTTTTGACTTCTGAGCCCAGATTTTCCACAGAAATGCTTTAACAACATCAGTATTGCTATTGCCTCCCAAGTCCCAGGTTCTGACGATTCAGATCCCCAACTCCCTGGTTCTCACCTGGAGCTGGTTTGAAAATGCGTATGTGGCAAGAGCCTTGACCCATTTCTAACACTCTAGTATGGCTGGGCCACTTGGATTTAGTGAAGATAGAATGGTTAGGTAGGCTGGCTTGTGATCTCTTTCTTCCAGAATCTTTTATTTATTGTATAAGTTTTGACTTTTGTGCTTCAAATGCTCAGGCTTTTGAAATCTAAAAACCCATTCTCCTATGGTTATCAGCTTCATAATAAATGAGTCATGATCTTACAAGCCCATTTTGATACTCAATTCTGTGCAATGAATCTTTATTTCCTCCGTATCTTTTTGTAGTCATAACCCTACTTTGAGAATGGTTCATAGAATAAGCCCTCTCTACAGTCCTGGTGTACCCAAGCCCTGGTATTTTCAATAGCCTCATATGGATGCGAAAGCTGGACAGTGAATAAGGAAGATCGCAGAAGAATTGATGCCTTTGAGTTGTAGTGCTGGAGGAGAATACTAAGAGCTCCTTGGAGGCCAAGATGGCTAAGCTTCGTCTCTCATACTTTGGACATATTGTCCGGAGGGAACAGTCGCTGGAGAAGGATGTCATGCTGGGTAAGGTGGAGGGTCAGAGAAAAAGGGGTAGACCCCTAATGAGATGGATTGGCCAGGTGGCATCATTGATGGACTCAAGTGTGGTAGCGGTAGTGAGGTTGGCCCAGGATCAGACATTGTTTCGTTCTGCTGTGCATGGGGTCGCTATGAGTCGGTTCTGACTTGATGGCACCTGACAACAACAACAACAACAGTCCTGGTGTAGTGCTATGGGTTAATGAAAGGTCGGTTTGAACCACAAGGTTGGTGGTTCAAGCTCACCAGCCGTTCCTCAGAAACCCTATACTTAGTATTCACTATGAGTTGGAACTGAGTTGATGGCACTTAACAACAAAAACAACAACAGTCTGCGTGGGTGGTGGGGGAAGTATAGAGGTTAATGGACATTGTAGGGGAAATATATACCTTTTCATATGGCAAGATATTATCTTATTACACATACAGATAAGCAATATCAAGACAGTGTGCTAAGTACATTTATCAAGGTAGGAAATGTTAGGAAGACATGATGATAGCCCACCAGACAATTTCAGAGAAGAGGTATTTTTTTAACTGAAATGAGTGACTTTGGAGAAAAATGAAGAAAGGGCATTCCTAACAAAGGGAACAGCATAAGTAAAAGCCTAAAAGCACAAACAAGTCTGCTGTGCTAGGAGAAGAGCAAGGAGCTCTGTGTGCCTGGAAGAGTGGGCATATGTGGACACAGTGGTGAAGAAATAGTACACGTGAGTGTGAATTCATAGGTCACTGTGGCAACAGTCAAAGAAAAGTTGCCAAATGGCCTGCTTGTGGAAGGTTTTGCATGCTTTATTCTAAGACGTGGTAAGAACAGAGCTAACTGTATTGCAGAAGACAATTTTGGTGGTAGTGAACAAAGAGGATTGAAAACTCACAGGTCAGTTAGAAGATCAGAGAGGATGCAAGTTCTTTTCCTGTGGAGAAGTCACATCAGAGAACACCTATAGCTCACGTGGTCAACCCTTCTCATTTGACAGATAAGGCCTGGAGAAATTGGGTGACTTGCTAAGGTCACTTGAGTCGTTAATGACAGAAACAGGTTTACTGACTCTAAATTCATGAGTTTTGATGTTGGTTTTGCAGCATCGCTATGGGTCGGACCCGACTCGATGGCACTTAACAACAACAACAACAATAGTGGACTTTGGAGCTCTGGTAGCGTAGTGGTTACGAATCGGGCTGTGAACCTTAAGGTTAGTGGTTCGAAACTACCAGCTGCTCCGCGGGAGAAAGATGAGGCTTTCTACTCCCGTAAAGATTCACACCCTCGGAAACCCTATACAGGGTCGCTATGGGTCAGAACCGACTCGATGGCACATAACAACAACAATAGTGGACTTTGGAGTCCTGGTGTGGCACTGGTGGGTTAATGTGCTGGACTGCAAAGTTAGTTTGAACTGCAAGGTCGGCAGTTCAAGCTCACTAGCCGCTCATCGGAAAGCCTATACAGGGTCACTATGGGTTGGAACTGATTCGACGGCACTTAACAACAACACAACAACAACATAATGGACTTCTGCTGTGGCACTGTAGGATCAGAATTGGACTGTGAACCATAAGTTCAGCAATTCAAACCCACCAGCTGCTCCTTGGAAACCCTATACATGGTTGCTATGAGTTGGAACTGACTCGACTTAACAACAGAGCACTTACCAACAACACAGATGTTCATTGAGTCCTGGTGTGGTGCTAGACTAAGTACTGGATTGTTAACCAAAAGATAGTGGTTCAAACTCACCAGCTGCTCCTTAGAAACTCTATGTAGGATCACTGTAAGTAGAACTACTTGATTCTGTGTCACAACAACAACAACAACAACAACATGTTTCAAAGGATCCTAGTGGCACTGTAGGACAAGCTAACCACAAGGTCCATGGAAGGAAGATGAGGCTGTCGGCTCTTGTAAAGATTTATAGTCTTAGAAACACCACAATAAGGTTGCTGTGAGTCAGCAACCATTAAGTCGTTAACTTAATGGCAGTGAGTTTGTTTTGTTTTTGTTTTATAGCATTTGAAGTAAAGATCCATGTCGGCTATTTCTCTACATGGTTTAGGGCTGGTCCTGGGAGAGTACAGAAGTACCTCCTCATTCTACAACTCCAGATTACATTGTATATGGTGCCCCCTGGAGCCTGGAGCCTGAGGTACAGTTTCCCTTCCCAATTTGCACTGAGGGCAGCCATTCAGGAAACTGCATGTCCTCTTCTATTCACAAGGTGGCACAATATATGTATATATAATGGTTCTGGCTCACAGCAACCTTGTATAGGGTTTCCAAGGAGCAGCTCTTGGGTTTGAACCACTGACCTTATTGTTAGCAGTTCAATGCTTGTCCTACAGCAGCATACCAGGACTTTAAATAGATTTCTTAACACAGTTCAAAGGGAACGAAGTATATGGCTGTCTTAAGGGGAGATTAGACTTTGGCTGTATGTTCTTCAACCCTGCACCCAGCTCTCTGTGAGTCCAAAATTCCCTTGTTTTACCTGGAGGAGAAATGGTTTAAAGTGACTGATTTAAGGATTTAGGTGTTCAAACATAATGTTGACATCATACTGTGTGGAGAGAACTCCTCCTGTCTTCCCCAGGACAATCTAAAAGCAGTTTCTTGATATTTTTGATCATCAATATCTTTTTCTCTTGATATTTATGAAAACTTGGTGAGGGGCGAAAAATCCATCCATCCATTCATTCTTTCTTTTCTCCCTCCCATCCCTGTTACCCACCCTGTCTCTGATTCCTGATAGGAGACCAAGCCAGTCCAGACTATTCACTTAGCTCCATACTTACACCTCCTTACTCTTTTTCTTGAGT